TTTGGTAACCATGACGTTACACACACCTTCTCACAAGTTGAAGAAATAACATCACATATGCAAAACTGGGGTATTTTTTGTCTGTTTGACCATAAAACAATCAAATTGTCAATGTGAAAGTCCAGAGAAAAATAACACATTTTACTGGTTTTGGGAGTATCATCAAATATTTTGGTGACTTTTAATCCAACACTGGGCAAAAAAGAAAGCGTGCATATAATATAAATTAGAGTAGGATGACGAGCATCACTACGGACTCACCGTTTGACCAACCCAAACAGTCTGAAACCTTTGATAGCTACCATCTAACATAAAGACACATGATTCAAATGCATAATTTCAAAGCGGATTGATATATCAAAATTTCCTGAACATCTTAAAATCAGGTAACCTTGTGGTGTTTGGGAGAAGATGCCAAAAATAGGTGTTTGACAAAACTAAGAATAAGTTGTGAAATTGGACATTTTTAAACATCAACGTAGAAAAGATGCAGACAAATTCAGAGATTGAAATGAGGAAAAAATTTTGACTCTACTCCAAGCCATTTTTGAGATAATTGCAAAAACATAAACTGATTATTACAGTACCACTTTGAGGTCAATGACTGTCATTTTCTGCGCCTGAGTAGTGGGTGGAATTTGAAACCCATTTTGATGACATTTGCTCTTACGGTTTTTGCTGCACAAACACTTTTATCAGAGAAAAATGAGAATAATAAAACAATGCCTGTCTAATTGCTAAAACAATGGAGCTCATCCTCAGTCTTGTACATATAGTGTGATGTGAATATAGTGACAGAGAAGGAGAGTTCAGTTAATGTCCACCTGTCAACAACTCTTCTTCGTATTGCATCATTTGGGCCTGGCTCGATGACAGTTGCTGTCACATTCTGTCATAGTTGTGATTGCTGTGGCTGTTTATAAAGTGGCTGGAGGACAGCAGATCTAGTTAGGATGCATGAGAAAAAAAAAAGTGCAAAAAAAAAAAAAGAAATCACTGTGCAGATTGGTCTCTCTCCTGAGCTGTCTGTGAATTACATGGTCTGTGATTGTTTTTCTCTTGCGAGTTGGCGTTGGGATGAAACGTTTGAGGTTTCTCTGTCAAAACTGTGGTATTATATTTTACTCTCGCGCTTTGTTCTGATGCAGTGGTTGTAGTTATTGGCATTGAGGCTAATGGTAAATGTCACACCATAGCTTATTCTTAAACTGGCAACTTTGGCATCGCGTTGTCATGTAATGATTTTGTTTACTGAATAGGGAGACCATCCTGGTTTCAAGCCCTGCATTGATGGATGCGTTTCCTGCTGTTTAATAGGTAGACAGTGATAGGTGTGACATTACAGCTGCATTAAAGATATCTCATACTTGAAGGGTGACAGTGGTGACAGGGCTACCTGTAGATGGTTACAAAGAAGGTTCACATACACTCCACGCAACATGAGCCAATGATGGTCCTTCCATCCATCCACTCACTTGTCCTGGTCAAGGCTGTGGTGGCAACCGAATAGCTGTCCTAACCTGCACTGCAGGAAAAAAAGGAAACATGCCTTTTCTCAGATATTTCCTCCATCTCCTCCAGGGCATCCCAAGCACTCCGGGACACCACCTGAGAGATTTTACCCTCCAGTGTGTCCTTGATGTTCCTCACATGTTTCCCCTCTCGAAAACCTCTGACAGGTCACAAGGCATACTTACGAGACTGGAGTTTGTGTCCTGCCACAGACTGCTAATTAATATTAGCTTTCCAGCCACACTAACCATACCGTAGTCAGTGTGTATGGAGGAATAACTGATGAAAAATGTTGGCATTGAACATAAAAAAAAACCTCATTATTGAACATAATCCGGGGTTTCTCAGAATCACCCAGTATCAGCACTCCGCCAGGAAAGTGGATTGCAATTCAGCGCAGAGTTCCTGCAGAAAGACAAATGACGATGTCTCATGACGACCCTGGGGGATGTATCTGCTTGACCCTTTACGATGTAGGAGCTTTACCTTGTGGGCTCATTACCGGGGCGCACTTCCTCTTAGGCAATGGGCCGGGTCAAGGGATAATCCTGCTCTGGAACTAAATACATCTCACACAGCAGATCAAACTGAGGGGTGAATGAAGCAAGTTCACATGTACTGGCGTCAGTATGATCCATCTTTTAGTGATATGAAAAGAAAAAGGGAAATATCCTAGAATTCCTGATATTCAATATTTGTCTATCTAAGAAACACTGATTCCTTTTATTTGTACTAAAACTGATAGTAAGCATCATTTTCAGAAATGGCACAAGTGGCAGCCATTGTACATCATCACTGAGTATTTAATAATTAACAGCTGCACAGTTTATCCCCATTTTCAGCTGCATTAAGGCAGAAAGAGAGGGCTAAATTAAATCTTCAATGAGGTTGTAAGTTGATAGGGAAATTCTCTTTGGAGATTGATGTTGTCAGTTGTTGTGATAATGATAAAAGTTAAAACTAAAACAGTTTGCTACCTTAATTAAGATATTGATCTTTCTCCCTTTCCTAACTAAACCAAAGAAGTTCTTAAAATAAGTAGAAATTAGATAAAACTTTTTATGTCTCAGGTGTCTGAGATTAAAATTCATAGTGAATTATATTGTGGGAAGATCCACTTTGCCTCACAGGTTAACTATTTGAAATTCAAGAAAAACAATATGAATCAACTTTTGTGCTATTTGTGTCATAATGTCTATATGTGAATGTTTAGTATTCTCTGCTGTGTTTTCCCACTCTTGTTTTTCTTTTCATATCTCGTGGCTTTTTGACCTCTACTGTGTTTAGACACACAGTCTATGATGTTCATCTGAAAGTGAGTGAATTTGATGCAATTACAGTGACCCAGGGTGTGAACTTTAAAGACCTCTCTCAGACTTACTCTTTTCCCTGAACTCACGTTTAAAAAAAAAAAAAAAAAAAAGTGGAGAAGTGGACTGGCATGTGGTTAGCTCTTCTGCTGCCACCCACTCAGCTCTACGTAGCTTATGGGTTTGACCTTAAGCTGTGTGGTGAACTTTCATCAAACACGCAGACTGTAAAATCAATTTATACACTTCTTTATACAAGAACCACACAGCTTTTGCACTTAGGTTTTGTTTTGTTACGACTTGTGCAAGTGACCTCAGTCCCCTGCTTCTCTGCACTCACATATTTACAACTTTGAGGATGTCTGATACATTTGTGCAACCCTTTGTAAACACCTTGGTGTGCCCCCACACACACATGCTTGCTTCTAAAGCATAAAGCAGGATTTACACATCCTCACTCATCACATCAACAACAAATCAATGTTTACAGTCGAAGTTTGGGAATCAGGATATTTAGCAAAACTCTTTAAATTGAAGGTATTTCCCAGACTAGGTTTTGGGCAACACCTTCTATTCTAGTTAAAACAGCTATGAACAAGTTTTTTTTTTTTTTTTTTAACTAAAGTGGCCACACGTAGTGAAGAACTCACACAGTGTATATGACTCTGCACCCCCTATAGTGTCTTTCAGCGTATTGTTTTGATTTTCAGGCCCACAGCCTTACACCAGGATCACACTGCCTGCGTTGCGTGAGCAGGGTCTGACCTGCCGTGGAGAAGCACGCAGGAGAAGCACACGGCACTACTGTCAGCCCTGTCTCTCTACATAGAGTTTGCAGGCTAAATGGTTAAAAAATATGTTTGTATTTTCTCATGTCTGTGTCATATTCAGATTCAGCCTAGAAATAGACAACTATAGTGAAAGGTCTAAATGTAATATTGCTGGTCTGATCTATTTTTGCTGGGAGATGCGCGTCACACGTGAAAAACAGGCGGTATAACCATTTAAAGTGGGCACTGAAATGAAAACCAAGATGTTCTGCAGCGGCCACGCACGTGCCACACATCCGGTGTGTTCCCGGCCTCGCTGTTTTGGTTCACTCTCACCACTTTTATAGGATCGTGTCCAGCTGCTGCTTTCAGCAAGAAAGCTCTACAAACATTATAAATTTCCATTGAAGTTTATCACCCACTGCATTGCAATTAGCAGTTAAAATCTAAATGTTTTCAGATGCATCAAAAAGCCTCTATACTACACAGTGCAGTGCCTGCATCCATGTCAATTACTTATCCAAATGAAGAGTCTTGTCAATACCCTCCTCCTGTTTCTCTGTATTTAAATTCACCTCTCATTTTCTTTGCTGTATTTTCTCTACAACTGGGATCAGCTCAATAACAGCCAGTGCAAGAGGCTGAATGAAATTTCCTATTTCTGTCGCCTGGAATGAAAAGTCTCTTCTGCCATCTCTCCTCCCCTGTTGTCGTATATACAAAACAATGTGGAGCAGTGAAAGTATGGGAATAGTATTTTTCTGATGTTCCAGTTGTGCGGCTACGAGAGTTTGACTTGGTAAATGAAACACTCGTCACTCTGGATTTATGGACCAGAGATGGTTTTGTCACAGTGTGTCAACAGCTCATTGCCGATGTAGCGTGCGAGACGACGGGAGAGGAAGATGCAGGAGGCTGAAATGTGCTTTGAGTTAATGGGGTACCTACTGCTCGCACAGCAAGGGAAAGTTGTGCTGCAAACAAGGAGGACACACGATTTTGGCTCGGAGGCTTGCTTTTGATGAAAGATTGTTTGCACTCCCTAGTTGGCAATTGGCTGGAAATGTGTTGATGAGAGACTCAACCTTTTCATCTTTGTGCTATAACCATTACCTGAAATGTCTGGTTGTAAATCAGACAGAGGAAAGGAAGACATTACAGTGATTAAAACTGTGTAGCATGGTTTTTAACAAGCATCCTGTCATCTTTTTGTTGCTAAAGTTGGGTGTATATTAGTGACTCAATATTGACTGGAACCAACCAAGTTCCAAAAACAGGCTTTTAAAATCATAAAGAAATTCCATTTTTGTTTTTATTTTACCTTAATAGAGTTTTCAGAGTAACTGTGAAAACCTGTTGCTTTTCCACTTTCTGCTCAGATGCAATGAGAACTTGTGCTCCTCCGCAGGGAAAATGTCAAATATCCGTGCTGTCAGGAAGAGGCAACAGCTGAATAACTTGGTTGCCACGGTTACAGAGCTAGCCAGGCCGGGGTACACCATTGTGGATTTCTGCAGTGGAACGGTACGTGTACTCATCCATCAGTCCAGCTTTGTATGTATATTTATCACCGCACCCGACCTCGGGGTGCATTAGACTGCAGCTCCATTAGCAGCATTCTGAAAGGAACTAGTTTCTCATATTTTCCTTTCCTCTTTAAATGCACTTTGTTTTGGCTGATCCGCACAGGCAGATTGGTAATTACACCCTTGAAAAGAGAGTGGAAGCACTACATGGCTAACAGGTCAATACTTGGTTGGAAAGGGCAACGCTAATCATAACTCTATTGATGTCCTCTTTGATGTGTGCTGTTTTCCTGTTGTGCATTTCTTTCATCATATCTTTCTTCTTTTTCTTGGTGCTGTCTCGCAGGGCCATGTAGGGATTGTTCTGGCTCACACTCTTCCAGATTGCCAGGTAATGAATGGGTATTTGTGCAGATGTGTGTGTTCAACTTTTAAGACTAAAAGATGAATAGATAAACCAATAGATAAACTTATAATTGATAAAGTAATTAATTTTAGTCTTATAATATTATTGTGTTTGTGGTCTTTATAAAGTTTTGACTTATTCTAATATTATCTAAGAATAGGCCTCCTGTAATCTCAATTTAAAGTCTGTGTTTGTTTCTCATTTAGAGAACTTTTTTTTCCTGTGTAAAACTTGTTGTTTTGATCATTGTTATATGTTGCCGCTCTTATTTTATTATTATTTATTCTTATTATTTCTTATAAGTTATTTTTTGGCATTTTTTGCCTTTGTTATGATAAAAAAAGAGAGAGGAGACAGGTAAATTAGAGAGAGAGAGAGAGAGAGAGATAGAGAGAAAGAGGGGATGGCATGCAGCAAATTGCTCATACCAGGTCACCTTATAAGTAGCAGCATAAGAGTAAGTGTTTTTTCTATCTTTATTCAAGGTCATCCTCATAGAGAACAAAGAAGAATCCTTGGTGAGGGCCCAGTGTCGCAGCGAAGAGCTCGGTCTGAAAAACATCGGCTTCATTCAGGCCAATCTGGATTACTTCACCGGACCTTTCCACATCGGGGTGAGCAGAGCAAGTGACGCTGTACACTGAAGTGTGCTTTTGCACCAGTTTTGTTTCCATCTTCTGTTTGATGATTCACAGATTCTGTGAACAATGTGGTAACCATTTCATGTGACTTGATTATTGAAGAATTTGCTAATTTGTGAATAACTGAAGCTGAGGTCAATGCAAAGTGAAATTAGTCTGATTGTAAAAGTAACTAAAATTAAATCAGATGTTTAAATGAATGGTAGTTTACCATAATAAAAAACTCATAGTTTGGTGATATTTTTAGCAGTTATTCAATTTCCTCTATCTTGATTTGATTTGCATTTTTGTAAAAACTATAATAATAATCCAGTTTTCTAATTCCATGTGTTTTAAGCAGATCAAATTACTTTTTGATTAATTACCTGCTAACAAAGCAATTAAAAAATAAGGAAATGAAATTAGCAATATTATGGCAAACTCGAAAGCGTAGGAGGCAAAATGTATTTTTTGTACATGAAAATACAGAGAATCAGGCTGGTGTAGTCCCACTGCCATCTTATTGAGCTACATTGCAAAGAAAATGTGTTTTTATCAGCAATTCCAAGACATTAAGGCGTTAATTTATTTCACTGCATTAAAATTCTTTAGCAGCCCCCTCACCACAGTAATTATTCAGTTCCCAATACTATAATGTATCTAAAATCTTAGCATAGACTTTGAAAGCATTTGGCTCTCATGTCAGACTCTGTGAACTCTAATGGTGTGCATATACTTTTGACAGAGAGGTACAACACGGCTTTTTGGTGTGGAAGTTAAAGTGTTAATAATAATAATTAAACCAATAAAGAAGTGCCTCAGATTTCTGATGATGGATTGAAACTGAGAAGTAAACACCTATGATTAACACCATGTAGACAGTGTGTCACTTCCTACTCTGCCGTGATCACAACTTTACTGCGAGGTGTCTGAACATTGTATTTTCAGTCTTAAAATATTTATATATTTCAGAGAAGCACAAGCACACATCACAGTGAGAGACATGTCATTCCTTCATCTTTTTCCAGAAACGGAAAATGCCAGCATGCAATTATTTTTCTCCGAGCAGCTAAGATGGCTTTTCATTTCCTGAAGTGGAGCTTTTAATCAGAACCCTTTTAGCGCTCTGCACTTCAGTCAAGCAGTGTATGTCACTGTCCCCTCTCCAATTACTGGAAACCCAAAAGGTGGTTTTAGCCCGTCAATGACGGACAAAGGTAATGTTGGGGTTAAAGAATCTCTTCAACTAGGAATATTAATAGCTCACTTGTCTTTGTTTGTTCTTGTTTACTGTGCAAATGTTATGCTCTTATTAAAGGGTTAGCAGTCATCCTTGGAAAGGAAAGTGTAATCTTTGGAAAGTGTTAGTAATAAAAGTAAAAATGGTTGCCAGCCATTTTGAAGTTTTATGCAGGCAACTTGGCCATGTCACCATTTTACTTCTTAATTCATCACACATTTTTTTCGTACCTACAGCTCTGCCAAGTCTGCGACTGCAGTTGTTCCTGTTTGTGTTTGTGAAGCTTAAAGATCGGCCTCGGTAAATGTGATTAATTCTGCACAGCTACCTGCGACAACAGAATAAATATTTTACTAGCTTTCAAGCCCTATGCCTAATTGGGCTAAAACAAACCGAAATTCAGCTCCAACTTGAAGTCGAAGCCCTTGCTGGTCCTATTTAAAAACACCCACCTTCGTCTAAAGAGCTCTTGATTCTCAAACAGATAATTACTATCAATTTAGAGCAAATCGGTCCTTAACTGTGGTTGTCTATGGGCTGTTTGCATCTGGCTCTGCCACACAAAAACAAGTCTTTGGGATTAAAAAAAAAAAAAAATCCTCGAACCTTCCAGAGACTCTCTAAACTCCTGTTCACACACGTGCATCATTTTGCTTTACCTTAGAATCTCTACTATCATCACTCTTGATGACTCGTTATTTATGTGTCTCAGGTCGGTGTCTTCAACCCAAACATGTCAGGGAGATCCATCTTCCTGAAGTGTGTCATAGCCCAGTTTCAGAAAAGCCAGCTGTGCGAGTAACCTTACTTTAACTCTCTCTGGGACAAACGGGAATATATATGTACCTGCTGTAATTACAAGAAGCTATTGTTCCGGCGTGGTCACTCCACTGAGACCTGTTCCATTTGGCAAAAAACAAATAGTTCAGATTATTCTTCTCTACAACATGTGGGTTTATGCACACACACAGTTTTTTTTTTTTTCACTTTTATTATTTCACATGAACATTAACATTTATTTTGGAAATCGGTGCTTATGTTTGTCCTTTCCTGCACCGCTTGAGATCTGGACTCCAGCATTTCTGCAGCCTCAGCTGTTGCTAAGCGTCTTCCTGCATGACACAGATATTTCTACCTGAAGGAGCCACCCATCACACTGGTTTTAATCCTGTTATGTATTATACATGGTGCCATTTTTAGTCACAGTCATTTAATCAGGTTAATTAAGTTGAGGTGTCCCTATTCTTAGTCAGGGTCTGCTTTTCCTGTCTGTGGTGACCTGGCCCAGGTATTAGACCGGTGTCAGAACCATAAAGTGTGTTTCATTTTTATCTTTCCTCTCGATATTCAGCCAACAGACCTCGGAGGCAGCAAATGTGGTGGAGCTTGAAGTTGATTTGAATTTGATCGGATCCTGGTCCATTATTGGTTCTGCTTGAGGGTCTGAATGTTTGCAATTGATTCTTTCAGTTGCCTACCTTATGTTGTGTGAGGAAAGTTTTACTTTATGGTGTTGCTTTAAGCGTTATGTAAAAATGTGTAGATCGATTCCAATAAGACTTTATGAGGAGTAATTGCAGTACAAATTTAAGGAGTTCAGATTTTTTTTCTTGATTCTTATTTTTTTAAGCCTCAAGATTGATTCTGTTTATTTTGAGTAAAATGCAGCATCGCATCCACCATTGAAATGAAAACAATGCTTTGACTCCGTGTAATCACATTTATTCCACACAAATACACATGCACATGCACAAATTTAGGCACAAATATTATAGATACAAAACAGGACAGCTCAATTGTTGAGATTCTGCTGACATAAGATTTTTGGAGATGATGCATGTTTTTCTTCTGTTGTCAGGTAATATGAAGTTTCATATAACAAAATCAGCGCAACAAACATAAAGTTTTACTTTCAAAACCTCAACACAGTAAAGGAAAGCCGCCAAAGCTTGCATCACGCTCCTCTGTAGCAGTGTGGGGCTCACAACCCAGTATGATGTTGATTGAGTAGCGTATTAGTAAGCTGTATTTCAGAAACGTGGTCTTTCTCAGGCCCACATAGGACACCAGAGGGATGTAATTACGTGAATAAGAGTGAATAATGAAGCATCATTATTTCTGTGATGTGATTATTGAGAGAGAAATACAGATTGGAACAGCTTTTCTGGTCCCCAATAGACAAATTATAACAAAAAAACACAGTTTTATAAAAGCCCTTAGTCCTTTGTTGGTTGCATATTAATTCATGATTTCATCTTCCAGTTAAATGTTTTGCCGAGGTAAAACTTAGCAGACCATGTCAGAAATACTGTACTGTATGTCTGTACTGGTGCTTTAAATCAGCCTGGCATAAAATCTCATCTTCCATTATGCATTTTTATCTAGTAACACACAGAACATATTGGGCTGAGGCAATGCTCTATAAATACAGCTTAAAGCAGACATAAATATTCTCAATAAGGATGTTGTCTACATCAAGAATTGGAAATGCATAATTAGTTATCACGACACATCAGAATGTGTTTTATTTTAGTTGTGTGCGTCTCTTTCGGTTGACTGGCTTTGTGTTTGTGTTAAATCAAGGCTAAAGGTTATAAAATGTAATTAGGCTTTACCCCTGCATGACTAATGTACAACATTAAGTAGCTGGGTAAGAGTGATGGCGTTACTTTGTTAATTATTTTCGCCTTAGATGTGGGGGGATGTAACATCATGCAATCTTTGATAGAGACTCCTCCTCCTAATCAGCAGCCTGAAACATGCTGTTGAAGGAATATCAGACTTTCTCCCTGATGCCATGAATAAATGCAGGAGAGAAAATGAGGTGTCAAATTGATGCAAGGCCATGCAGGTAACTGATGCTAATTCCCCAATTTTCACTTTCTGGTTATTCTTTCATGTGCAGACTCTGCTCGTATAACTTCATATTTAAATAAATACACATGTTTCCCAAGAGGAATACATTTTTCTTTTGCTGATGAATATTGACAGACGAAACATATCAGAACATATTTCCATGTGGAGCTCTTCACTCTGATGAGAAAATTTATTTCCAAGTACATACTGTGAAATTGCACATTCTTGTGTAGTTGTTAACTGCAGGATTTCATCAACCGTGCAACTTTCAGGGAGAGTTTATTTACATCTGAGAAATGTAACTCCCCCCCACCCCCACTCCCACCCCTGCCGTCCACACATTTCAGTGACTTTACGAGTGGGCTTGGCCGTGTTTATAGTGCCTACATCTTCCCTGATCTTTAGAGCTGCAGCCAATCTTGGCTTAGTCTTGTCCTAGTCTTGTCCTGACCGGCTCTGAACTTCTGCTCTGTGGCACTGCTGTCAAGGCAACGTGCAGTGGATTCAGACTCACGGACGCCAAGATGACACGTTCTTGGAAGAGGAGAATGGAATGGTTGAGGTGGCTGCTTGAGTTGGATGGGGTTACTTTCAGTGAGATCGGGTAGCTATTGTCAAATCAGACAGTTGATAATGAATTTTATTTGGACCATTAACAGACAATCTACTTAGCTAATGTACGCTTGAGAGGAAATCATCTATTTTACCACCGCAAACTTATTGCCTTTGAAGACTCAATATTTTTTGCAGATGGACTTTGGGAGAGAGATGACTAGAATACACACAGCCTATAATATTGGGTCTTTTAGTTCCTTTCTGCCATCCAGTATAAAGGCACATCATTACTAATGCATAGCTTGGTGTTCATCACCACAGTTTACCCACTCAATGGGAATTCGTGCCTCCGCTCCCAAAGCACTAATACATTTTGTTTGCTCTAACTACCCGAGTCTGCACCTTTGAGAGCATAAATGTATTTAATAGCAGCCGCCATTATGAAGTAATCAATGAGACTGAGTGCATATTCTCTAGTGCTCTGAGTTTTTGGTCTCTGTCGGACAAAGAAGGTTTTCAAGTGAAAGTAAGTCATTTTTTTCTTTGTCTATCTCTCATCAGGTGGCCCTCCATGCGTGCGGCGTTGCAACAGACATGGTGATGGAGCATTGCATCCAGGCCGGAGCGTCCTTTGTCATCAGCCCCTGTTGCTACGGCTTCATCCAGAACGCCGTCAAGTTCACCTTCCCCAAGAGGTTTGTACCTGCCACAGCCGCACCTCCGTCCAGCGTCAACTCTAGGTTTCTGCCTTTTAAAATAATGTTTTTGACCTTGTTGTTTTCTAGTTAGATCTCTGCTTGTATCAGCGCGTCTCCCCCCTTCTGCCAATCTCGCCTGGTGATTTTTCAGTTTCTCTTTAGCACTCTCAGTCGCTCTCAGTCATTTTCACACTTTCTCTCACTCTCTATCTCTCACACATAGACATAATCGGTATCTCTTGTCACCGCTTTTTGTTCACCTCCTGTCTCTTATCATCACCACTGACAGTATGAGGCAGCAGTGTCGCATCGCCTCCACCTTTTTAATCTCAGCCCTGTTCTATCAGCAGCACAGAATAAGGCTCTCTATGTAGAGGCTGTCATGGATATTACAGAGTGACAGGAGAATCCAGTTAAAGGTACAGACAGGAAATTCAACTCTTACTGGCATTCCACTATCACACATAGTATAAAAGAGAATTAACCACTAAAATATGACACTGTTTGAATCGGGAGAGGAGGAACAAACAACAGCAGAGAAAGAAAAGTGCAAAGAGAGGCTGTACTTTAATGGTGTTGATCCTGTTGCTATAGCAGCACTCTGTTGACTAATTGTATAGTAAAGGCTTAGGAACCATAACAAAGTAGTATGTCGCTAAAACAACTTTGGGATACTGAAAACTATGAAACAAAGCTGTTGTGTAGTATTGCTGTTGTAGCAACCAAGAGACTGTGATCAGTAGTGAGTTAAGGTTGAGATACATGTTGTGATTGATGGGCTGATTATAGCTAAGGCTTTGACATTAAGACTGATTGGACCAGCCTTCGCCACCTGTTTTCCAGTTTGGGTCTTTTGGGTGGTGACATATCAAGGTTTCTACCAATTTACTTTCTTTCTGCCCACTGTTTTTCTCTATGGTTGTTTTAACCATGACATAGTACAAGAACATTTGCTTTTGAAACTGTGCAAAAATGGCAAGCAAACAGCGAATTAGTGCTATGTGCCAGAGTGAAAATTATTTTTACAATTTAGTTATCAGTTTTCAGTGCAGAGTCCCAAATCAGCTAAAGTTGAGCCACCTCTGGCTTTCTCTGCATAGTCATTTTCCTCATCTCTCCATCCAATATTCCATTAAAATGTAGCATTTTTAATTTGCTTTCAACTCTGGCACATTAGCACTAATTCGCTGTTTGCTTGCCATTTTTGCACAGTTTCAAAAGGCAAATGTTCTTGTACTATGTCATGGTTAAAACAACCATAGAGAAAAACAGTGGGCAGAAAGAAGTAAATTGGTAGAAACCTTTGATATGTCACCACCCAAAAGACCCAAACTGGGAAAACAGGTGGGCGAAAGGCTGGTCAATCAGGTCTTAATGTCAAGGCCTTAGCTATAATCAGCCCCTCAATCACAACATGTATCTCAACCTTAACTCACTACTGATCACTAGTCTCCTTTGTTGCTACAACAGCAATACTTACACAACAGCTTTGTTTCATAGTTTTCAGTTATCCCAAAGTTGTTTTAGCGACATACTACTTTGTTATGGTCCTAAGCCTTTACTATACAATTAGTCAACAGAGTGCTGCTATAGCAACAGGATCAACACCATTAAAGTAGCAGCCTCTCTTTGCACTTTTCTTTCTCTGCTGTTGTTGTTCCTCCTCTCCGATTCAACAGTTCATATTTTAGTGGTTAATTTTTTTTATACAACTAATGTGTGTAGTGGAATGCCAGTAAGAGTTGAATTTCCTGTCTGTACCTTTAACTGGATTCTCCTGTCACTCTGTAATATCATGAGCAGCCTCTACATAGAGAGCCTTATTCTGTGGCTGCTGATAGAACAGGGCTGAGATTAAAAAGGTGGAGGCGATGCGACACTGCTCGCCTCAATACTGTCAGTGGTGATGATAAGAGACAGGAGGTGAACAAAAAGCGGTGACAAGAGAGTACGCGATATATGTCTATGTGTGAGAGATTAGAGAGTGAGAGAAAGTGTGAAAATGACTGAGAGCGACTGAGAGTGCTAAAGAGAAACTTGAAAAAATCACCAGGCGAGATTGGCAGAAGGGGGAGACGCGCTGATACAAGCAGAGATTCTAACTAGAAAACAACAAGGTCAAAAATTATTTTTTAAAGAGGCAAGAAACCTAGAGTGTGACGGCTGGACCGGAGGGTGCGCTGTGGCAGGTACAAACCTCTTGGGGAAGGTTGAACTTGACGGGGCGTTCTGGAATGAGCCGTTAGCAACAGGGCTGATGCAAAGGACGCTCCCGGCCTGGATGCAATGCTCCATCACCAATGTCTGTTGCACGGCCGCACGCATGGAGGGCCAGCCCTGGATGAGAGATATGGACAAAGAAAAAATGGACTTACTTTCACTTGAAAACCTTCTTTGTCCGACAGAGACCAAAAACTCAGAGCACTAGAGGAATATACGCACTCCAGTCTCATTGGATTTTTACTTCATAATGCGCGCTGCTATTAAATTACCTTTTATGCTCTCCAAAGGTGCAGACTCGGGTAGTTAGAGCAAAAAAAATGTATTAGTGCTTTGGGGAGCGGAGGCACGAATTCCATGATGTGGGTAAAACTGTGGTGATGAACACCAAGCTATGCATCTAGTAATGATGTGCCTTTTATACTGGATGGCAGAAAGGAACTAAAAGACCCAATATATATAGGCTGTGTGTATTCTAGTCATCTCTCTCCCAAAGTCATCTGCAAAAAATATTGAGTCTTCAAAGGCAATAAGTTTGCCGCGGTGGTAAAATGGATGATTTCCTCTCAAGCGGTACATTAGCTAAAGTTAGATTGTCTGTTAATGGGTCCAATAAAATTCAATTATTGCACTGTCTGATTTAGACGGAGATAGCTACCCGAATCTGCGACTGAAAGTACCCCTATCCACACTCAAGCGGAGCCACCTGCCGAACCATTGTCTCAATTGGCTTCTCTTTCCAAGAACGTGTGCTTATCTTGTAAGGCGGTCCGTGAGTCGTGAAATCCACTTGGCAAGGGTTTGCCTTGACAGCGATGTCAACACGAAGGCAAAATTTGATGTCAGAGCCGGTCAGGATCAAGAGGCTTAGGACACAGACATACCAGCCAAGATTGGCTGGCAGCCTTTCCTTTAAAAAAAAAGATTCCAAAAGGGGTGGGGAAAGATGTAGGCACTAATACAACACAGGGCGCAGCCAATCGTAAAGGTCACTGAATGTGTGGAGGCAGGGGTGAGAGTGGTGGGGGGGGGGAAGTTACATTTGCTCTCAGATGTAAATAATACTCTCGGGCCTGGAAAGTTTGCATCGGGTTGGATGGAAATCCTGGCAGTTAACAACTACACAAGAAATGTGCAATTTCACAGTATGTCTTGGAAATAAATTTTTCTCATCAGAGCTGGGAAAGACTCACATGGGGAAATATGTTTCTGTGATATGTTTCGGTGGCTGTCAATATTCATCAGCAAAAGAAAAATGTATTCCTCTTGGGAAACAATGTGTATTTATTTAAATTATGAAGTATACCGAGCAGAGTCTGGCACATGAAGAATAACCAGAAAAGTGGGGTAAATTGGGGGAAATTAAGGCATCAGTTACCTGCATGGGCCTTGCCATCATTTGGCCACCTCATTTTCTCTCCTGCATTTATCATGCATTCAGGAGAAAGTCTGATATTCCTTCAACAGTCATGATTTCAGGCTGGGCTGATTAGTAGGAGGAGTCTCTTTGCTAAAGTTGCATGAAATGTTACATCCCCGCCAACAAGTCTAAGAGGCGAAAATAATTAACAATACGGCCATCACTCTTCACATCGTCTACTTAATGGTTGTACATTAGTCATTGGGCAGGGGTATAAGCTTAATTATCATTTATAACCTTTAGCCTTGATTGTAACCACCCAAACCACCAAAGGCCAGTCAACCGGAAAGAGGACGGCACACAACGTTAAATAAAACACATTCCTGACTGTGTGCCGTGATAACCTGATAATGTATCAATTTCCAAATTCTTGGAAATGGTAGACAACATCCTTATTGAGAATATTTAATGTCTTGCTTTAAGCTGTATTTATAGGAGCTATTGCATCAGGCCAATTGGTTTCTGTGTGTTACTGATGAGAAAAATGCATAATGGAAGACTGAGAATTTTATGCCAGGGACTGGATTTAAGCACCAGTTAACAGACATTAAACCAGTACGAGTATTTCTGGATCATGGGTCTGGGCTAAGTTGTTTACCTCGGGCAAATCATTTTTAACTTGGAAGATGAAATCATGTTAATATGCAACCAACCAAAGGACTAAGGGCTTTCTTATAAAACTGTGTTATTTTTGTTATAATTTTTCTATCCGGGGGACGCAGAAAAAGCATGGTTCCCAATCTGGTTACTTTCTACTCTCAGATAATCAATCACAGAAAATAAATGGAGGCTTGCAGTTATTCACTCTTAAATTTCACGGGAATACAGTGCCCTCATGGGGTGGTCTTGAGGTGTGGCCTGAAGAAAGGGACGCAGCGTTTCTGAAATTTCTTGTGTTTATATATATTACGCTACCTCAATCGAAGCATCATAGCTGGGTTGGATGATGCGAGTGTTTGTGGTCCCCACACTCGGGGCTACAGAGGACGGTGATGCAAGGGCTTTGGCGGCTTCCTTTACTGGTGTTGGTAGAGCTTTTTTGAAGGTAAATAACTTTGATGTTTTGTTGGGCGTGATTTTGGTTATATGAAACTTCATATTACTGGACAACAGAAGAATATAACATGCATCATCTCCAAAAATCTTAGTTTCAGCAAGAATCGCGTCAACAATGTATTCGTAGTCCTGGGGTTTTGTATCTATATATTTGTGCTAATATTGTTGCATGGTGGCATGGTGTATTTGTGTGGAATGAAATGTGATTACACGGGAGTCAAGAGCCATTGGTTTTCATTGTCAATGGTGGAGTGCGATGCTGCATTTTAGTAGCTCAAGACATAAGACACGGAATCAATTCTTTGAGGGGCTGTGAAAAAACTGTAAGCAATGCAAGGGTAAAAAAAAGTCCTGAAGCTCCTATTAATTTGGGTATACCTGGCAGATTACTGTAGGCTGCCAATAGATGAAGGGTCTTAGTTGGGAATCGTGATCTACACAGTTTTTACAATTAGTCGGCGATTGAAACGGCCAGAACACCATAAAGGTAAA